GAGCATACTCACTAGGTGTCAAATCACAGATTTGTCTGTGAAACAATGAGTTCAGTTTAAAGTTACAAGTTTACATGGATTTAATTTAGCATATTTACTTGTCATGAAAAATTTACATGACCTTGAACTTACAAAAGTACACTTCTGATCATTAGTACAGGCTGCTTTTCATTGAAATGTTATGTTTATTTCTAGAAGCTGTTGAAGCTTCGAGTGTTACTAAAAAATATCCGTCATCCAGCCACCATTCAACAGACTGGGATAAATTAGCTCGGGATGTTGAGGAGGAAGAGAAAAATGAGAAGCCAGAAGGTGATGCAGCACTCAATAAATTATTCCAACAGATTTACCGAGATGGAAACGATGAAGTGAGAAAAGCCATGAATAAATCTTTCGTAAGTAAAAGTTTGATGTGGAAGGTGGGAAAGACATCCTCTAAATCATTCATAAGTATAATTTGATGTGGGAGGCAGAAGAAGTATTTGTTAATTGTTGGATACACAATAACAGTTCTGGGTCATATTCTCATCTAGGACCACCCCCTCAGATGAATGCCGTTCTCTTAAAAGACACAACATTGGCAAGTGATCAGATTATCAAATAAAATCCATTCAAACCCATTCTAGAGTGATAACCATTGTACCATACAACACCATGATATAGCCAGGACTCAAACTTACAACCTTGTGATTGCCAGTCTAAGAATGATAACCATTGTACCATACAACACCATGATATAGCCAGGACTCAAACTCACAACCTTGTGATTGCCAGTCTAGAATGATAACCATTGTACCATACAACACCATGATATAGCCAGGACTCAAACTCACAACCTTTTAGAGTGTACAGTAATGCCTTCTCTATGGGGATTATTTATTGGTTTATTTTTTGGTTTCCTTCTAGATGGAATCTGGAGGTACAGTCTTGAGTACAAATTGGAACGAAGTAGGTGAAAAGAAGGTGGGGGTAAAACCACCTGATGGCATGGAATGGAAAAAGTATGACAAATAAGCAGACACCGATCAGCGTACTCACTAACACAGTTTCACCTGAGTTGTATTGTTTCCTGTATTTTGTTGAAATCCTTTGATGTGTAAAATAATTTGTCTGGTGTTACCAATTGCAGCAGTTCACTGGATATTAGGGTCACTTTAAGAATATATTCTGCAGATAATTTGTGAACGTTCACATTATACAAAATTAAAAGGATTTAACATTAGAATGATATGTACACCAAACTATTTTGTTTTGTTGTTTTCAGACAGTGCAAAAGTAGTTGTTTGTTCGTATACTTTGAGGATTTTGCAAAATTTGTGTGTAAACACATAAGTACGTTTTCGTGGAAAATTCAGCCGTGTATTTTTTTTTTTGTGATATTGAACAGTTGTTCAATAAAACTGAAAAAATTGTTTTTTATTTTCCCCTTTTTTGTGACATTTCAAACATTCAAATTAATTTGCATATTTTGGGATAATTATTAAGCTTATTTGTTTGTAAGCCGTCCTCCCTCCTTACATTTCAAAGTAACGTCAAACAATGAATCTCTTTTTCACAGCTTTTATAGTCCTCCCTATCTGAATTATGAGGACAGGTCATAAATTGGTTGAAGCTGAATTTGAGACAGTGATGCATTTAGGTACTGATCTAAGAGTCAATCTAGATCTGATTTAGTTAATTTGTGATAACGTAGCTATCGACTTAGGTTTACGTCCACAGTTGTCGCTATGCATCATGTTTGATACAAAACTTGTACAACACGTGTCAAAACAACAGCTGTGCAACAACTATGCCATACTGCGAAATGATTATTGCCTGCATCGCTGTGACTGTAGCATGCTGCGCAGTGACTGTAGCATGCTGCGCAGTGACTGTAGTATGCTGCACAGTGACTGTAGCATGCTGCGCAATGACTGCAGTATGCTGCGCAATGACTAGTATGCTGCGCAATGACTGTAGTATGCTATGCATCAACTAAGTATAGGAGACAATAATACAACTTGAATAAAACACACCAGATTATTTGTGTTTTCCATGAGGTGTACTTTTTGTTATACCTACACCTAACAAACCAAGATTTAGCTCTAGCATTGATTATAGTTTTCCTTTGTGTGAAAATTTAACAGCAAAATTAACTCTGTATATCTGACATACCAACAGTTGATATAATCAACTCTCATTCTGTGGTGTTGGTTGATTACGCAACTCATGAATATATAATGCATCTGTAAATAAAAGTTCCTTTGTTCAACCTGTCATTGATGTCTAATTGTGTCAAACTTGTGTTGCTTTCTCTGATAAGCTACCTAGCACCTATACTTTCCAGCCAAACGTATTTCACCTATAGAAACTAATCTAAGAAAGTCTGTGTGCTGAAAGAATTGAAGACATGAAATAATAAACTGGACAGTGTTTTAGTATTACCGGGTAGATTATATTAAATGTGAAAAATAATTCCATAAATGACTTTAGATATTGTATAATTGCATAGGTGTCAAGCAAAAAATAATTAGGTCTGTGATTTGTCCTGGTTACCTGTATGTACCCAATTTAAAATATGCTAACAAGTGCTTGCTAATGCCAAAATTGGCTAATTGTTATACCGTACAAATTAGATAATTAATATTCATAGATCTGAATATTATCCCAATGCATCTGTGTATCATGTTTCATTGAAATCTGTTGCCCTGAAATGGACATTTTCAAAATAAATCATCTTTGAGTAAATTTGAAAAAAGTTGTAACCCCACTCCTTTTCTGTCAGTCTACTGTTTCCAACTTCTCCTGAAGTGAAACGGCACTGCGCCACCAAACGTGGGACAAAGGGAGAGGCCATGCACTAAGTACTTTAAAAATGCATAGTTTTACAAGTATGTGAATTACTAGTATGCTAATGAAAATCTAGATATTTTTTAGTCTGGGAATTATTGGAAGATCAATTGAATATCATTTTTTTTTTATGTCATCTTGTATTTCCTGGGTGCAGAATATTACCGAGCAATTGGTCTTCTGGAGGAGTTATACTGCACACCTATGGCACAGTACACCGTATTTCAATAAGAAATCACTAACATACTTGTTACTATTATTGCTTATCAAGTGAAATTGAAAACAAAAATAAAAACGCCCTGAATTTTCAATCTACCACGATTGTGTCTTTCAATATTGGATGATTTCAACAAAAGCAGCCCCAACAAATGCCGCAAGAAAATCCAATTTAAGAACAAACTGGTACTCCTGGTAGTTGTGTTTCACTGCATCAAATTAGAAATCATACATTCATGTATCAGATCATTGAATGTATCCAAATTCGGTACCTATGACCGATACCAATTAATCTTATAACCACCAAATACATGTATATAGGTAGTTGTGTTTATGCCATGGGTAAATTGATTGATGTTATAAGTCTATTAAATACTAGCATGTGTTAGTTCCTGCATGGAGGTATTGAGATCGGCTACTGATCATAACCAGACAATTCCTCCTACTGAATCAACATGGATCAAACATTCAGTTGTACACTTTTTTCTTATTTTCACAGTGATTTATATGTATCAAACAGAGAACAAACTGCGATGATGACTGATCACAAAATTAGTACATGAGAAATTGGTCCGAACTCTCAAAACTGAATCGCGTTGTTACTATACTAATAATACAGCATAGTATCTTTACTTCAAATTTGTAAACAAGCAGCCCATCGACTAAGTTAGCTCTGCTGTTACCAATGCACATTTCAATTAAATTATCAAAGATATCATCAGAAAATGAACAAATCTGAGAGAGGACCACCTGAGGTACCTTTATGTATAATATCAAAACAATCAACCTTGCATTTTTCAACAAGAAGTTGAAAATATCACTTTTTACCAAAAATACTCATATAAATTAGAAAATTAACGATATTATCATGAAATAAACAAATCTGTGCAATACCCCAATGCTTCTATATACCAAGTTTCATTGAAATGTGTTGAACGATTTTTGAAGTATAAATTGAACACCTATAAATTATCTAGTATGTAAATTAGGTAATTTAGACACAGATTCTACCATGTCTGTGCATTGTCCTAATGCATCTGTGTGCCAAGTTTCATTGAAATGTGTTGAAAGGTTCTTGAGAAATCAGTACAAGAGCCAAAAAATTGGCTCATTATTATGCAAATGAGATTAATAATATGCATGGTGTCAAAGTGAAACTAATCAGATCTGTGCAGTATCTAAAGAGATAAGTGGAACAGACAGACAGGGTAACTGCTTTTCACACAGAAGTCAAAATATATTTCAGTAACTAGTTTACGATGACTCTATGCTTGCTGTATATAATTTTGTAATAAGTTGACATTATGAAATGAAAAATCCACAAACATTCAAACAAGAGGAATCGAATCTGCTTTCCATGCCTCTAGATGGCGCTAAATATGAAAGTATCTTGACGCTCATCCTTTGCTTTTAATCCCAAAACGAAATTGATTATGGTCACCGCATGTATTAGTTTAAATGATGCACGTCATGTTTGTTGGGGGGGGGGGGGGATGTGCCAAAACATTGTAAAAATGAAAGGAAATACATTTTGTAGTCTTCCCCATAAAATAAATCGCCTCGCAACATTGGGGGGTATATTATCGCATGTTTATATTATAAACAATAAGTAATTTATTCCTTTATGTAATATTAAAGTAGTCTTTTCATAGCTGTACTATGGGTTTCATCATTGCAAGAAAACTTGTAGACATAGGCAGAATATTTACCTGAATCAGTAGTTTAAAAAGCACAAAATGACTCATTTTTACCGACTCTGTATTACCCTCGTCTAGTATGATAATGAATTGATCTACATTGCGAAACCAATGTTGCACGATATCTGACTGAATATTTCTCAGAACTGCTGTAAACTCGGCAAATTTGAAGTGCAAATTGGTCAGTTTTACGATTCAAAAACTATCATGGTTACAATAAAAAAAAATGTTGTGTGAGAGGTGTGTTTAGAGTACAGTAATGATGATCAAACAAATTCAACCCTTGTTCGCAAAACCTTTGGTTGATTTTAAGGATTACATTATAGTTATCCAACAATGTACAACACAGAAGTGGACACGAGTATTTTTAAAATTAGTTTATACTCAATAAATACAACTGTGTTATTAGTCCCCGTTCGTATGAAGTCCGAAAACGGGGACTTATAATTTGGTCTCTGTCCGTCTGTGT